GACATTCCAGCGGATACGGACGACAGTGGAGACGAAGAAGATTCCAATGGTTGGGGACGAATCGAGATGTAAACCACTCGCGGGCTAGTCAGCGCAGGCGTGGGTAGTCCTTCTTGCAGAAGGCCTGGAGGGCGGATGTAAGAGGGCCAGCGCTTACTACCCCAAAAACGGAACTCTCGCTTCCTTATTCGGTTCTCGGACGCCGTCCGACAACCGCCTTACTCCTATCGTAGCCCAGACTCGCTTATTCATTCACCATCTCATTTTCTCTCTCTCTTTTCAGCTTACTTAATATTATCCTACACTAGTATAAATAACCCTGTACCTACTCGGGGAAAGCCCCAGCTGTTCGAGAATTCGAGACACTACTACTCATCTCGCGTCTCGACGCTCTCGTGTGTATCTCCGCTCTCACTCTCTCTCTCGCTTGACTATCGACACCCAATCGACAACGCGAGCTCGTAGAGCGCCGGATACCTCACAGAGTGGACTGCTCCAAACGGATTGGATAGGCTTTCTCCAATAGACTCTCGCGTCTCTGCGTCCCACATCCGGATTGTCCGATCCTCGCCCCAAGACACGATCCGTTGGTAGTCCGGGGGATACATACGATGGGTAACATTGCCCGCGTGACCGCGTAAAGGCTCGCCAGCTGGTTCCCATCTCTCCAAATCCCAGGATACGATGGTGCCGTCCTCGTGGGATGACAGTACATACCGTCCATCCTTGGACCATGAAACCGACCGAACCCAGGCCCATGCACCCAGGTTCTTGTATGGCGGGCCAATGTTGAGCCATGTTTCAGCATCCCACACGCAAACTATCCCGTCATGCAAGCCCAGCGCGATGAGCTTGCAATCCGGTGACCACGCAACACATCTGACCAAACTTTCGAGCCAGAACATAGGCCCGACGAGAGAATCGCAAGTCTCGGCATCCCATATGCGAATAGTGCGATCCTTCGAACATGAGGCAATCCGACGGCCGTCTGGGGAGTAATCGATGTCTAGTACCTCGTCCATATGGCCATGCAGAGGCCCTCCGATCAACTGGAGTGTCGTCGAATCCCATACACAGATGGTTCCATCATACGAGGCGGAAACAAAGCGAGTGCCGTCCGGAGAGAACCTGAGACAAGTTATCACAAGGTCATGTCCCTGCAGATCTCCATTGATGTATTCGCCAGTGTCCGCATCCCACACGTCGATGGTGCCAGTGTCATAGCCCGATATAATCCGGCGTCCATCAGGTGAATATGCGAGCGAGGTCGGACGGCGGGTGTATGCGAAGACTGATGAATCAGAAGAGACATCGTCAGGGCTGTCAGGGCTTTCCACGCTCACGCTCTCCTCTGCGGACCATATCCGGATCGTCGTATCATCCGAGCCGGATGCAATGTGGCGGCCGTCAGGCGAGAAGGTGACATCTCTTGCGTAGCCGCTGTGCCCAACAAACGGCCCCCCGACCATCTCGTATGTTTCCATGTCCCATATGGATATGAGACCATTCCCACATCCAGCGGCGACGCGCCTGCCGTCGGGAGAGAGCGATAGAGACCATATAAGAGTCAGAATGGGGTGAAATATCGTTGCCAACGTCTGGTGGGTCCTCAAGTCCCAGACCAGGATTGTCGAGTCCAACGATCCTCCCGAGACAATCCGAAGACCGTCTAGCGAGAAAAGGACAGAAGTAACAGGTTTCGTATGACCTTCAAAAGGCTTCCCTACAGCCTTCCCTTCTATGACATCCCAAACCCGCACCGTGCGATCCACGGATCCCGACACGATGTATTGACGAGTCGGAGAGAAGGCGATGCAGTAAACGAGGGATGCGTGGCCAAGGATACGTCGATCAACTATCCCCAGTGTCTCCGTTGACCAAACGCAAATGATGCCATCTTCACCGCCAGATACAATGCGATGTGCATCTGGAGAGTACGCAACACACCGCACTGCGCCCTCATGACCCCGCAGAGGTTCACAAACGTCTTCACCTGTCGTGGAATCCCATATACGCAGCGTCGAATCCGAGAGCGCTATGGCAATGTGGCGGCCATCTGGAGAGAAAGCAACCCTATAGACCCAGGAGTCACAAGAGAGCTCATAGAGTGCTTCGCCCGTCTCCGCATCCCATAATTGCAATGTCTTGTCAAGTGATCCTGACACAATGCGCCGACCATCGGGGGAGTATGCCACGGTACACACTGCACCTTCATGCCCGGAGAGAGCGGTCTGCTCCTGCGGCCAACGGTCACGAACACCATCGACGAGCGGAAGGGAGGGGAAATGTGGAAGGTACAGGTTCCGGACCTGTGACGAAGTCGGAGAGAAAGGCAGGGCTGATATGTAGACGTGAGGAGCGGCCTGGGCTATGATACCGGCAAAGCGGCGGATGAAGGAAATCGCATCGCGCAATAGCTCCTTTAATGGGTAGCTTCCAGAGTCCTACGACAGTCGTGAGTCAGATCAACAAGTATATGGACTAAATACAACGATTAGGCTTACATTGTATCCCTTCAGCACTACTTCCAACGAAGGGGCAGCACGATTGACGCACTTGAGGAGGCTAAGCAACTCGAACCAGAACAGAAGCTTCTCTCGCAAAAACCTGCCTAGTTCTTGTTGCATGTCTGGGGGATGAGTGGTACCAGCGAGGTGGTCTTTCAAGTTGCACGCCGCATACGAGAGACTTTGAGGGACATGCATAAAAAGGCGAGCTTCTAAGTCAGGAATGTCACGGTTCGAGACGTAGGACGAGTCCAAGCGGCAGACGTTGAACGACAGTCGATTGTTCATGACGCGGAAGCACCCGAGCGCCATGGTGGAATGCCCTGGCGTTAGGTTCACGAACCACTCCCCGCTTCTAGCCGCATCAGTCAGGAAGTCGCGGAACGATGTGTGAAGAGGACGGATAGCAGACGTCCGGGAGGATACCCCGGAGAGAAGTGGGCCCATATACTGCACCACAAGAGTGATCTCGTCTCTCTTCCCGCCGGTCGCAAGACGACGCAGTTCATCCAGCGACGCAATTGACAGTGGAGAGGAAGCGCAAAAGATCTGTGCCATCACAGAACGGAAACGCTCCGCCAGCACAGGCTCGTTCAGGTCGAAAAGTTGCTCCAGGATGCTTCGGTACAGGTCGTCGAGGGAGAAGGGGCCCCCTCCCAAGACAGCGCCTAGACGTAAGTTGAGTCGCTCCTGTAACGTCAGACCGGCAGGGTTCTGAAGCAGAACCCTGCAAGCCGTTGCAGCCCACTGGAACAGGCCCTCCGCCTTGGTCACCAGCAGGCGGTAGTCCCCGTCTTGGAGCGCTTCATCGGCAAGCGACCTATCGGGAGCCAGTTCGTGACGCACGTACAGCGCGATGTCCGATGTTGCCTCTTCCTTGTTCTCGTCGAGGCTGATGTGGTTGATGTGCCGATGGTCGTCCTCAGAGCGGCCCACGATACGCATGACATCGTGCTCAGGACGGGATGTGATGAGGATACGGAAGTTGGCAGGGAGCTTCCTGGAACCGTCCGTGAGAAGCTTCAGCAGCAGACGGCGCTCGGGCGCATCAGCAGAGCTACATTCATCGAACGCGTCGACGACGACAACCACCGGCCCAACCAAGTCCACCCTCTTGAGTGGTTCGAGAATAAGCCCCTCCCACTGTTTCGCAATGTCGACCGACCCTACGAGGTCACCCTGATCATGGAGGACGTTCGCGAGCGCACGACGGAAGGCGGGGTTCCAATTCGCCAGATCGTGTGCAATCGTGCTGAACACATATTTCGGCGGACGCTCCGACTGGAACGTACGATTGAAGGAGAAGAAGGAGCCTAGGCGGCGACGATCCCGCGAGTGTGCGCCAATGGAATGGGCGATGGAAGATTTGCCTGTCCCAGCACCGCCGAGGAGGAAGAGCACGCGGGGGGCATCGGCCTTTGAGTTGTTGATCCAATCCCGGAGCGCGCCCAACGTCTTCACGCGCGTGCCCTCGAGACAAGCTCTACCTGAATCCAGTCCTGCGCCCCGGACATGGGTCAGATTGTCGATTTTGCCTGAAACCGTCGGTGAGAAACAGGGTAGACAGAAGGCGACAAGAGCTTACTAGAATCTGCAAGGTTTGCCACCCGGATCTCGGTTTCGAGCACTCCTGCTTCGGTGAAAGACCGGCGAAGGTCCACGAAAGCCTCGGTGAAGTCCCGGATTTTCTCGTCTACGCGTGAACCCGTGATCACGTTGCTTCCTGTTCGAATCCCTACAGTACAGCCTCAGTACGCGTCATAGCAAGAACTCGATGAGGGACCTCACAGAAATTCGTGAAACGAGCCTCGTCCTGGATGAATTTGCCGCATTCCTCTGTTTTCGAGGACATATCCTTGAGCAGTCTCTGGCGGTATTCGTCCAGGTCGGACAGACGACGGGTCTTGTTCACCAGTCCATAGAGCTCGTTCATCGCCTCGAGAAGATCGGCCATTGCGTTGTCACGTTTGTCTTGGTCGATTACAGGCTGACAGGAACGGCTTAGATAGGGAGCATGGACTGGAGTCATATGCAGAGACAGCCTACCTTCACGACCGAAAGGAGGACCTTGGATGCTATCTTGGCGTAAGGATGGAGCTGTACATCATCTTGAGCATGGCCGAGACTCGACAGACGATGGTAACTGACGCACGTCTCCTATGTCCTCGATGAGCGATGCAAAGATTTCCACTTTCTCCAAGACGGGCTTCCACAGCTCGTACGCGCCTTCGACAGCTTCTTCCGTCGGCTCGATGGCTGTCGCCCCTTTGGCTACGATCTTATTGGCTTGGCTGAGAGAGTTCAACGCTGTGCCGCCAGTGTCGATGGCGGTCGCTATCTTGGCCACATGCTCAGCTCGAGATGTTTCAGGCTCTGTGTCCTGCGTATCCTAAAATGAGACGTCTAGTCACTTTCACAGACAAGCGAAGCGATCAGAGAGGGAATCGCACCTTGCTCGAATCCTCAGGAGCACTCTTCTCCCGGTCAACGACACCGGGAGATCCTGTATCGGTGGATACTACTTTGGCATCATTGACAGAACGCTTGAAGTATTGCTTGAGCCGCTTCCCCAACTTCCACTTGAATTTGCGCATGATAGTCTTCGGAGGTCGTCTGCGGGCGTAGAGTGCGTAGATGTACTGTTCAGAGTCAACCTGGCAGAAGGCAGAAAGATGGCGGGCGTTTTCTCAGGCTGGACAGATCCACGAGGCTTGGATAAGGCTCGGCTAGCAAGGATACATTGGGTCCGATTGGGAATACGACCGTCTCTGATGCATATTTCACAGCGAGACAAAAGCGTGGCATCATGATAACATACAGTGATAATCGTAACGCCCGCTTGAAAGTCGGAACGTCGAACGCGAGCGACAAGGAAGTGATGCCACGAGGGTGTCCCACAGTACAGTGGGCGAAACATTCCTATTCCAAGCATTCGTAAACAGGAAATGCACGGGCGTGACATCCCATTCCAGGCATCAAGACCAATGCCGATAATGGGATTCCGGAGGACGACCTCGTGCTGGACATGACGTTCTGACAATTGGACGGAAAGCAGCTAAACATTAAGCACAATGCGTGTGAGCTGCGAGATCATCTGACCTCCGAATTTGCAAATTGTTAACACGTCTCTATCATGGGCCATCCTCGTTGGTCGGAAGGGGGACACGGAGAAGAAGCAGAAGGCCAGTCCGGGAGTGTGGATATCTGAGTCGCGGTCGGGAACAAGATATGTCATATATTAGCCGCCGATGTGAGGACGAGTCCACGTCGTCTGCGTACACAACGCCCACCATCCTTACTGCCTTGACCTTCCCGCACATCACTTCACGAGCGATTGTGCACCCCACACACCGAGAAGCACCAAATGTCGTGTCCAGACGCGATAGTATCTGCTTTGCAGCCAACCGCACTGCGCAACAACGACTAGAGCTCTCCCAATCTCGACGCCTCTCCCCATCCTCGACTGTCCTCTGCGTGGCATCGCTCACATCCACATGCGCTCGCCCCGCGAGTATACTGCAGCAGCTCCGTTTTCGAATCACTCTGAATTGCGGATGCATCG